ACTGACGCTTCGATCGCCTTGTAGCTTACACTGGCGCTGGGCGGACGGAGCAATGATGTGATCTGTAATATAAATAAAGTATTATTAATGATCATTGTATTTAGGTTTCTCCGAAATCTATTGCAAACGTATTTCTTTGATGAATAGTTCTTCAAAATTTTGCAATAAAAAGAAAATAAATAATCTAAAAATAATGACAAGATCCCAAAAATAATCAACACAATAGCTTTTCGGGAATATTTTAAAAACATTAAAGAGATACAAAAATGGTTCATGAGGATTATTATGGTGCTTTTCTCTAGTTTGTCTGTCGCTCCTAAGGTATTTGCAGTACCTTGAAACTTGAAGATAATTCATAAAATCATAATAATTTCATTAACCAATACGATATAACCAATATGTTATATAGTTGTTGGCAACATTATTAGTCAGAGGTTGATGGATAATACTCCAAGATTTTATACCATTTAAAAAAGACATTCGTCTTATAACATTTCACCGCCCTCAGAATCGTAGAACATTAGGATTTGTTTGAACAACAAATGAAAACAAGAGCAAGTTTTAATTTTCCGTTGGCCCACTTGTTGTGCCACCAGGCCGTGCCACTTGAGTTTGAGGCAACACGCGTCTGCCGCCATAAATTTATTTTCTAGATTTTGATTCGATTTAATGATGTCACCCAGTTGTCAACGTCCGAGACGCATTGTGAGGATTCTTTTCGGGGTCCACAATCGCAGTCGTAATTCTTGTGGCCCACTAAACTTGGACAAATGGTATTAAAAGGCGACTTTATTACGTAAACAAATGCGATTGGAAAACTAGAGAAGATATGGATGGTTTCTGTTTGGCAACATTTAATTTCAAATTGACCTGCATCTCAAGTGTGGATCGGTGGCTATCTTTTGGAGAAAGGAAAACTATTCCCCCACCAAATCCATTCTTTGATGGATTGCAGCTGTGTGTCAGTTGTAGGTTTCCCTTTAAATTATAATTAGAAGCATTTGAGGCATCTTTATGTTTGGTAATAAAGTTCGCTTCGCGGAGGAGTTGCATATGCCTGAGTTATTTATTTTTGGACTTGCCCACATTAATTAAGAAATACGACTCTGTCCACTCGGGTGATGTATGCGTTTGAAGGTGTTCGAAACGTGTGCCACACATGCATCCGTTTCCCAATCGAGTGGGGAATTTTTAAGGCATTTTCCAATTACATTTTTCACAGCTGGAGATCTAATTAGATCGGATGCATTCTATTATATATAGACATGTGCCAAGGCAATGCATTCGACGGTAGAATAATCAAATTTATTGAACTTATTGCGTGGATTATACAGTAGATGCAGGTTTTATTTGATTTACTAATACTTAGAAACCCAATATTTATAAATATCATGTAATATCAGTCAAATTATAATCCTCATATATCCCCTTTTCCTTGTTTTCAATTATAATACTATACCATATTTATGTCAAGCAAGCCCAGTAACTACTGTACTTCAACATATGCAAAAGACATCATATTTTCCACATTCCTCATACGACATGTAGGTCAGGCCGTAACGCTTGACAAAGTTTTCAGAATATTAGCGAAAAATATTTGTGAAAAACTTTTCCAATTCCTAGCCACATGGTAATTTGAACGTCCTTGAACTTGTCAGGTTAAAGACAACCCAGGCTGGAAGTCCCAGCCCAGCGATAAGGATATCGGGATAACAAGTTTGCCACCATAACCATGACAACGGATTTTCTTCGAGTGTGCGTGCCTTATTGTACGGAAAAGCGAAAGTTTTTCCCACCTTCTTGCAAAAATTTCAATTTGTTGCTATAGTTTGGTCCTCTTTTGGGGGCCGTTGTTTGGGTGTGACACACATTTCAGGTGGATCGTCGGAGGTTTTTGCACTTCGGCGACTAATAACCACAATGCCACTCCCCCCCCCAAAAAGGAAAAGGGGCGCAGGACCTAGCCCAACGTCTGTGTTAATGGCGCTGCCGCCTTTTCTTTGATTTTCCATAAGATATTGTCGATAAACCCTCAATAAAGGCACGCATATTGGCGAAAATGATTAATTAATAGCTTTGCCGGCGAAAAATTGACAATGAAATATGTCGAACAAAGGTAAAATGGGTTTAGTGAAAGGATTTTCTTTTGCGTTGTTACTGAAAAGGTTATATCATTTTAAAGGCGTCATTTTAGTCCTTATTCTTGAAAGCATTTGCAGTTAAGTTATTCAGGAAACAAGAAAATATTTTTTCAAAACATTTAAATAGCCCCAAAGGCCAGAAAAGGATTTTAAAATTGGCCTAATAAATTAAAAATTGATGCAAATTTTCAAAGTTTAATAAAATATTTTTTAAACAGATGTATAGTTACAAATTAGTTTAGCGACTTCAAACCTTTAAAGAATGGTATGGTACCGAATATAATATTTTGTAGTAGTATTTTAAAAATAAAATACATTTTTTCTATCTTTATGTTACTAGACAATTCAAAGATATACCCCTAACTACTATAACGATCACTAATGTGTTTCGTTATCAGGCGGTTTCGAATGATATTAGCACACTTTGGGTGTCGAGTGATGCAAATGTCACCGGGGGATGTTAAAGATCACATTGCCGACCAAAACTCACATGCAATTTCCCCATTTCGCTGGCCTCCTCTCATTCGATTCAATTCAGCGTTGAAGTTATCTCAATTAAATGCAATTTACAGTCACTTAAAAAGTCCATATATCGACAATAGCTATTATGAGTTACATTGTGCAAAGTTTTACGTATATGTAAATGGCTCGTGGATTTCGTTTAAACAACTTTATAGGCACTGGCACTGCACTTTTATCTTTTTAGAGCTATAAATGTGCGGGAAACCGAAAGGCGAGCGACGCGACCGCCTGCAGTGAAGTTCTTTTATAAATAAAACGCCAGAAGAGACATTCAATTGAAATCAGTCACTCAATCCGAGGAAAATCAAAAGAAAAGCGTTGGAAAAGAGCAGCCCCGGAGAGACCGAGCGGTTGAGAGCGAGTGCCGCGGAAATTTGCAACGCCGTTCCAAGCGGTTCCGTGCACCGAATGTTCGACGCTCCCATTTTTTATTTATAAACAAAATTTATATGTGGAACATAAAACGCGGCAGTGTGTTGTGTGGGCAACATTTGTTGCCAGAATGTTGATGGCGAGATTTTGATAAGGCAAAGTATATTCCCATACAGTTGATAAAACTTAAGGTCACAGCCCAAATTTTGTATTAGGTTTTTCTGAAATTATATGAAAGAACTAGAAAGAACTAAAAATGTTTCGGTATTGCTCTATCTTGCCTTATATTTTATTTAATATAAATTTGTTAGAAAGTTGTTACCACTAACAAGTTATTTCTAACATTGACTTCTATATTTAGTGAAAAAAGTTTAAAAAAATACTAGCTGGAATGTAAAAATACCAGAAAAAATTTCTACCTTTGAAAATCTTTTGTACAAAAAAAGTCAAATTTCATAGAAATTTAAAAAAAAATGGAAGTTTAAGTTCTTAAGCATTTAAAAATAATGCAAAGTAACCAGAATAAATAAACATAGAAAAACTATATTTAACAACATAAAATACCATACACCTTCTGAGTAATAGGTACTTTGCATACTTTGTAGAGCAAATATTAAAAAAAAGGTAAAATATATACCACTAAAATTTAAATTTGTAGCTAATAAGTGGTTCCCACTGTAGTTTGTTGAAAATTTTCTGAAGGGCCTGGTGGTCGTCTAATCGAAAGTTCAAAGGCGCATTCAATTTCGATTTCATTTGTAAACACACTTGAAAAACAAGGCGCTCTGTTTGTGGATCGTAAATTTAGAAAAATAAATAAAATTCAAGGCGTACTCCTCCTACATTTTGTGGATCGTATATACATAGAACATTCAGCAAGCAAAAATGATGGATGTTCTATGCTCTCCAACGGGTTAATACTTTAATGGATCCCTGTGCTTGTTTCGGCTTACCCAATCGTATAGAGTGTACAGATTCATGGTGGCTGCACTTGAACCAAATAATTTATGGCCTATTCCCTGGCTTCTTGGCCGCCTTTGTTGACACTTGCGCCTGTCAGTTGTGCATATTTCTATAAGTTTTAGATGCGGCCCATATGCGATCCATTTTCTTGTTGATGTTTACGGCGGGATTTTGGTGACACGATATTTCTTAATTTTCTTTCAGGTTGATTTGCTTACAAACACAGGCGCACTCACAAAAACGAATAATTTTGTAGGTTATGTTGGATACTTTACGTAAAATTTGAAATATTTTCGAATTTTAAAGTTCTACACTAAGACAACACAATGAGGGGAAAACTAGCTACTAAAACTGCGACTTTTAATCGAACATTATACGATTTTGTAGTACTCCTCGAGGGAGAAAATTAACGTTAAATCGAAAAATAAAAAAAATATTTAATGCAACCGATCTGAAACAGTTGCACGTAAACGCGAGCGCGATGCAACTGAGAACCAAATCCATTGCGAAGAGTCTTTTATTTTTGGGTCTCGGGGGATAAACCCTCTCTGTTTCTCCACTCCCCAATACTGTAACGCTCAGTGAAGCACAACACAAAATTGTTTAAAAATAATCAATCGTAAACAAAAACTGTTGCAGTGCCATCGAAATGGGGAGAGTCAAACAGAGAAAAAGAGAATCCATTATGGTAATCCTCATATCGGCGGAGAAACAAAGAGAAATCCAAGAGATGAAAGGGGAGGAAAGTAATTAAGTTTTATCAGCTGTTCTATAAATACGTTGCAAGCAAAGATTTGGCATTTACAAGGAATATGTGATAAGGAATAATTTAAGGAAGTGTGAAAACATTTATGGGACGTTTATTTGTAGGCGTAGAAAAGATACAACTTCCTTCCTAATAGGTAATAACCCCAATTTATAGCGTCATTAAATATCTACTAAAGAAGTAATTATGGCAAACACCCTCAAGAATGTCTTGAATGCAATAAAAACGTATTCATATACATGTTAATATCAAAAATTTATTTACATCTATTTATTATTGCTTGTCAATAGTTAGTCTTAAAGAACTGAATATACCAGTATCCAATCAGTATATTCATACAAAAATATCATTCGATTAGTGTAAATATATCCTTTAATACACTGTTTAACATTGCTAGTCAGTTATTGTTTTGAAAGTCCATTTAATTCTATTAAATATTTTCATATTTTCTAGGCATCCAGTCGTAAGGCGGTTTTCTGTTCCCCGCGGGGCTAATATTGTCCTGTTTCCTTTTTTGTATTTAAAAAATGCAATACAAATTGTAAATGTCACTCGATAAATTGCTCTTCATAAGTCTGTGTTCAGTTTGGCAGAGCATTTTTGTGCTTAATTCATATTCAGTTAGTCCTTTGTCCTAAATAATTTGGCTAACGAACTTTAAATTCGAAAGGCGTCCAACAATTTGAGCTTTGTACAAAATTAGTTTAGTTAATCACATAAAAAGGGAGAAATTTATGTAAATCCCGTAAAACCTTATAGGTCAATTGGGATTGCCGCCCTCCTTTTGTTTGAACTTGGTGGAGTATTTGTAGAAATCGGACATCTCAAAGGGTTTGGTCACTTCTTTGTATGGCTGGAAAGTGGCCTGCTGCACTACGGTCATGTTCTTTGGCGACTCGATGCGAATTTCCGGCGATAAACTGGCTGTGGCCACGGTTAAAGGCGGTGATACTAAAGCTGTTTGTACAGCATTGCCATGTCCATGCCCGGATGCCACACCACTCCCACTGTGATTCAGATTCTGGTTTTGACCCTGATTTGCAGGTGGTGGTCTTGGTGGCGGTGTGGGCTGCTGCATTTGACTTGGTTTCGGTGGTAGGTTTCGAAGCGCAGGTATGTCCAGCGGTTCCAGTGGATACGATACAGAAATTCCCAAAGTCTGCTCCATAGCGTTGAGGTACGATGTCGACTGACTGAGCAAAGCTTTCGAACTGGTGTTCACCGCATAGCTGGCACTTGGATAGTTCGGTGTTGGCCGCTGGTTAGACATGGAATAGTGACGACCCGCTACCGACATCGATTGAGAGGAGAGTTTGGCGCGGGGTTTACTCATTACCATGGCTGCTGCTCCGGGATTACTACTGCCATTACTGCTTCCAGCTGGACTGTGTGGTTGTGAATCCATCTGCCTTATAACAGCCGGTCCGTCTAGTGACGATTCCATCCACTGCTTCGACTTGGGTTTCTTTTCAATGGTCGTCGATGAGGAGGACAAAGAGATCTCATCGTGCGGCGGATAGCGACTGGGTGGCATGGGCACCGCCAGCATATCGCTGGAATGCGATTTAACTTCGATTATACCCAATTGCGGAGGTGTTAATGGTGCTATGTGTGACTGAGAACGCCAGCGGTATTGCTGCTGGTGCTGGGCTGCCTCCATATCCACAGAGACGTAGCTGGGAGCCAAGGATATTGCATCCAGTTGGCGCTGATGATGCATAGGATTACGCTGCTGCTGCTGCTGATGCTCATAGCTATGATTGCTGGGCGATGCCAGAGGGGAAACATATTTCTTGATGTTCTGACTTGATTTGATGAAGCCACCCTCATTGTAACTTTGATGGGTGGGCGATAAGTAATACTTATCGCACTGCACTATAATTGGCTGCTGTTGGGGAGCCACTTGCGGCGGTTGCCTCAAAGTGGCCACATTCGAGGAGTTTGCCGAGTACATGGATATGACATCCGGCTGTGATCTCTGGTAGTTCATGTTCATTGCCAGATGCGCTTGTTGCTGATGCTGCTGGCGCATATATTGCATTTGACTGGGCGTGGGTGTGGGTCGCTTCTTCAGGGCGCTCTTCACCAGCGGCGGTTGTTGTTGCGCCTGCTGCTGGGCCACGCCTATTACCAGCATATCGCCCGCCCCCGCCGACGAGGAGGGCTGGTAATTGTCGTATTCTGAACTGCGATTCGATAGAGTTTCCGACTGGCGATTGTTATTGTTGTTGGTCATCTGGCTTTCCCTACTTTCTCGGCTCGTCGTGCTTTGTTTTCTTCTGAGAATCGAATTGTTTTCCCTGGCCAAGGCCTGGTGCTGCTGTTCATGCTTGTACTGTTGGGCTAGTTGAACAAAAAACTCATTGATTGTCATCTGCTCATAATTGCCATTGATAATGGCCGTCTCCTGTTTCTGAATTTGCTGCAGCAGCCAGCTCTTTTCGCTCAGGCGCTGCTCCAAAGCTTGTTTCCTGGCCTCCAGATTTTCCCTCCTAACCTTTGGATCATCCTCGTTTTTTTTGTTGTTGTTGTTGTTGTTGTTGTGGCTACTGCTGCTGTGGTTATTGTTTATATTATTCGTGTTATTGTTGTTGTTGTTGAGGTGGTTCGTGGAGTTGCTTGTAGTTGCCGCCTGTTCTTCATCTTTAAGACTGGCCATATTTCTGCTCTTGGGCGCTTTCAATTGCATCGCCAGTGGTTGCTTGGGTTCGTCGGCTTCGTTGGTGGGTTGTAGGTGCGGGTTTTGATATATCGGGGGATCCTAGAAAAGACAAGCAGTCTTTGATCAGTCGCCTCCTAAGCTGAATTTTTTATGTAATTTATGAGGATTTTTAGTTTGGGGTATTCAACTAGATCTGATACTATTTATTTTATAATGATGTAGTTATCCTAGTACCTGAATATTTGTACTATCTTTCTTTTTGTTATATGATATTATAAGAAAATTCAAAGTTATTGGCTCATTTTTAGAACCTTTAACTATGAGTTTTGAATAAATGATATTAGAAATGTTTACAGTTATATCCAAACTGATGTTAAAATTATTTTAGAAATTTCTAGACTATTTTTATAGGTAGATCTATGAATTTTTGGGGATTTTATATAATTATTATAGAGATTTCCACAGTATGGTGTAATATAATATAACTCAGTATCAGATCTGGTGAGTACCCCAAAATGATTTTAGTTCAGAGTTAGCTTTTTGCATTAGAGACGTGCACTAGATTATTAGGATGCTCTTTGTTGTATGTACAGACTTAGTTTTTGTTTGTTTCCGATTCCAACCCGTTTCATCACGCACCACAACCACTGTAAACCTTGAAGCGAACCCTCTCCAAAAATTGGCCAGAACATTAACCCAAACATAGAGAAGCTCGATGAGGTGTTATTTGTTTGAGGTGTGTGTTTTTCTTATAACTTTTTTGTACAGTCTTGTTATTGTTGTTGTTGTTGTGACCTTCATAGCCGGCGATGACTTAATATAAAACGTGCAAAAGTCGTTGAATTAAGTGCGCCTACAGTGGATGCTCGCTGAGAGGAACCAAACTGGTTTTTCTCCGCATCTCCAATAGTTTTCACTGTGGGGGTTGGTTTCTAATTAAAGAACCTCCACTGTGCATGTTTTTTAGTGGTGCACGCATACATGTACAGACAACTACGCTTATGACTAACAAATATGTATATAAATTATAATGCATAATTTAAACAGATCGATTGGCCCACACACACACGCATAAAAACAAGAACAACAACAAAAAACAGGTCAAGAACGGAAAACGGTAAAAACAAAAACAACTTTTAACTCACCAAACGAAGACCTTTGTTGCTGTTGTTGCCGCTGCTGCTGCTGCTTCTTCTTCTGACGTCGTAAAAACAAACAAGAACCGTTATGCTGGGCAGCGCCTGTGAATGAGTTAATTTTTAATTGTTTGCAATTACAATTTCGGCAAATTGGCTGGTTTATTAGTAGTTGTAGTTACTCAGGTGAGAGAAAATGGGAGAGAGGAGCACACCTTTCCGTTTTATCGCTCGAAATGCGGTCGCATAGCGTCGCTGTTGTTGCAACGCCGCGTCCTCTCACAGGAAAACGAAGAAAACTGCTGTTATTTTCCACTTTAGCTGCGTGCTTTTCAATTTGTGCGCTGCGCGTTTGAGCAATTGGGGTGTGGGGCACTTGAGCTCGGCTTAACTAAATCATAAATTGAGCAAATTATACGGAAAAACTCGCAAGAAATCAGATTGCAATGCTGCGCCTACATAATTAAACAAAAACTGCACGCACACATACGCACCGCGGGCAGTGTTGGAAAGCGGCCGGGCACCTTGCGTGCTGTTAGGGGCAAGTGATCGCTATGTTAGCGAAGTAGCAGGAAGAAAATCACTGAAACGGGAACCGTGATTACAGAACGACAAACTTTTAAGCTAGTAATATTAAGACTATCAACTTCAAGCATTTTATTTTATTTCTTTGTTTGCATATCCTTATGATTTGTAAGTTCTATCAACCTTTTTAATAGAAAGGTGTTTTTTGCAAATCGAACAATTTAATAAAACTTTGGTCTAGTACAATTATTTGCTTAGGCTTTAATCTCTAAATTATTGCAGATTCATTTTTTTAATTTTATTTCTTATCCTTTGACAATTACTTTTAGTCACTATTTGGGACCTGTCACGAGCCTTAACATTGCTCATCTCTGGACCACGCTGTTAACCGAAAACAGTGTTGTGTAGCGACCACAAGTGCAGTGTTGTACGCCGGCTGACGGAATACTCATCCAACGAACGAAATTGCATCCGCAAGTGAAGGTATTTCGGCAGTTGCCAATTGGACGGTTTATTACATAAATTCGCGTTTTCCGGCTAGAAAAATAAAACCGTCTTTATGTCATTGCAGTTGTTGAAAGCGCTACCCCACCTGCGCAGCGCCACCTCAGCCGTAAGAAGTCCAATAGCGAGAAAAACGTGGAGCGAGCACATTGCCACGAAAGTGTTTTTTGGCACCACCACCACAAAAGGTACTCCCGCTGCCGCACCGCCACCCACACAGCCGCAATCTTCCACACCACCCACGACTTGGGGCGCCAAGAAGCAGAATAGAAAGGTCAAGCTAAGATCCGCAGCCGCCGAGTTCATCATGTCGAATCCAGAGATCGAGGCCCAGCTGGCTCCTCTGCGGGAGCGCGTCCAGGAGCAGGGCAACCTGGTGCGGGACCTCAAGGCCAAGGGAGCCGCCGAATTGGATGTGAAGAAGGCCGTGGCCGAGCTGAAGGCCCGCAAGAAGCTGCTGGAGGACAAAGAGCTCGCCCTGACCCCCAGTGTCGTTAGCTTCGATCGCGCCAAGATGGAGGATCTCCTCAAGCGCCGCTTCTTCTACGACCAGAGCTTCGCCATCTACGGCGGCATCACCGGCCAGTACGATTTCGGACCCATGGGCTGCGCCCTCAAGTCCAATATCCTTGCCCTTTGGCGTCAGTATTTCGCTCTCGAAGAGCAAATGCTGGAGGTGGACTGCTCCATTTTGACCCCTGAACCTGTGCTAAAGGCCTCTGGTCATGTGGAGCGATTTGCCGACCTGATGGTCAAGGATGTCAAGACCGGCGAGTGCTTCCGCCTGGATCATCTCATCAAGCAGGCTCTGGAGAAGCTGTCGAAGGCCAAGGAGGCCACTCCTGCTCTCCAGGCCGAGTGCGAGGACATCATCATCAAGCTGGATGGTCTGAACAAGCAGGAACTGGCTGATGTGCTGGCCAAGTACAATATCAAATCTCCTCTAACCGGCAACGATTTGACCGAGCCCATTGAATTCAACCTGATGTTTGCCACCCAAATTGGACCCACTGGCTTGGTGAAGGGTTTCCTGCGGCCGGAAACTGCCCAGGGCATCTTTGTGAACTTCAAGCGGCTATTGGAATTCAACCAGGGCAAACTTCCCTTTGCAGTGGCCCAGATTGGCAACTCCTTCCGCAATGAGATCTCACCCAGATCGGGATTGATTCGTGTGCGTGAGTTCACCATGGCGGAGATCGAGCACTTCTGCGATCCTGTGCTGAAGGATCATCCCAAATTCGGTAATATCAAGTCGGAGAAGATGACCCTTTACTCGGCCTGCAACCAGATGGATGGAAAGTCTGCCTCCCAGGTGGAAATTGGCGAGGCTGTGGCCACTAAACTGGTGGCCAACGAGACCCTCGGCTATTACATGGCCCGCATCCAGCAGTTCCTCTTGGCCATTGGCATCAAGGCGGAGTGCTTGCGTTTCCGCCAGCACATGTCCAATGAGATGGCTCACTATGCCTGCGATTGCTGGGATGCCGAGATCCTCACTTCCTACGGCTGGGTGGAGTGCGTGGGCTGTGCCGATCGCAGTGCCTACGATTTGGGACAACATACGGCGGCCACTGGAGTTCGCTTGGTGGCCGAGAAGCGGTTGCCGGCTCCCAAAACCGTGGAAGTCAGCGAGATTGTGCCCAACAAGCAGGCTTTGGGCAAGACCTTCAAGAAGGAGGCCAAGAACATTACGGATGCGCTGGCCAAGCTATCGCTGGAGGAGATTACCAAGGTGGAGGAACAGTTGGCCGGCGACGGTCAGTACAAGCTGACCACAGCCGATGGCCAGAGCCATGAGCTGGGCAAGGACACCATTAGTGTGAAGCACTCTTCGAAAACGGTCCATGTGGAGGAGTTCATCCCGAGTGTGGTGGAACCTTCCTTTGGCATTGGTCGCATCATGTACTCCCTGCTGGAGCACAGCTTCCAGTGTCGCGATGGCGACGAGCAGAGATGCTACTTCACCCTGCCTCCCTTGGTGGCGCCCATCAAGTGCTCCATCCTCCCGCTGTCCAACAATTCCGACTTCCAGCCTTACACCCAGAAACTTTCCTCGGCCCTGACCAAGGCGGAACTTTCGCACAAGGTGGACGATTCCAGCGGCTCCATTGGCAGGCGGTACGCCCGCACGGATGAGATTGCCATTCCCTACGGCATCACCGTCGACTTTGACACTCTGAAGGAACCGCACACGGTAACGCTGCGGGATCGGAACACCATGAAGCAGGTGCGCGTCGGTCTGGAGGAAGTGGTGGGCGTGGTCAAGGACCTGTCCACGGCGCGAACCTCCTGGGAGAAGGTCACCGAGCAGTATCCTCTGTTCGAGCAGCAGGAGGCCAGCAGCAAGTAACTGGATGAACGAAGAGTCTCTCACGCTTGATACGCATTTACGGAGTCGAAAAGTTTTCTATTTCTTTTATACCTACGCTTAAAGTTCAATAAACATGCAACATTTAATGCTTCGCAGGCTGAAATTAAAGTTTGTCTTCATTTTTTGGGAAAATTACTTATTCTTTTTAAAAACATTGAAAATTTTTATAATAATACCAATATCAGACAGAAGTAAATATATGATTATTATTTAAATAAATAAATATTTAAGCAACAAGCCTATTTTGTACAATTAGGCATTGTACTGTTACTCATTTCGTAAACATAAATTTGTTTTTTCGGTTAAGATAAAGTTTCTCACTAAGAACTAAAGGGATTTAAAGGCTTCAAAACTTGGAGGATGTGCTATATATAAATTAATAATATTTATTCCAATAAAGTTACAAAATAACATTTTACGAATAAAGTATAAATTAAATTATATAATAAACAGTCCAAAAGTTAAACAAGATTAATGTACTAATAATTATAATAATAAATCTTTATGGATACGCCATAAAATAAAGTAATTTTATACCTTTTCCTGGCATTGCTATTTTCATTGAATGTTATTTCTAGATGTGTAAACAAGAATTTGATCCCTGTTTACTTCATTTCGACTCCAATTCAAACGCAACGGAATTTGAGGACTTTGACTTTGCGCTGTTTACCAACACAGGGTGAATCACTGGTATTTACGATGACTAAGTGAGATGGTCATACCGCCGGCGCCTCGCAGAAACGATACGTATTAAATAAACCAAATCTCGAATTCGAGGCACCACGTGCAGCAAAAGGCAAATAAACGGCGCAATTGTTGCTCGGAGTGGCTCAAATAACGCTAGATTGAGTGGCCATCGCGAATCAATTAGGGCCCTACGATAATCCGCGAGATTTTGTGATCCCAAAGTTCGAGATTCGAGACGAAAAAGATGAAATACATCCTGGTCACTGGCGGCGTCATCAGCGGCGTGGGCAAAGGTGTGATAGCCTCCTCGTTCGGAACCCTTTTGAAGTCCTGTGGTCTGGATGTCACCTCGATAAAGATCGATCCCTACATCAATATTGATGCTGGAACCTTTTCGCCTTATGAGCATGGTGAGTTCCCAAGTTCTTTTCCCATTATATATGGTGTATATAATATGTATGCTCTCGGCATTAGGGAAATGCCTGTCTTTTATTTTGGCAAATTTTCAATATTTCGCGCATCTGTGTGAGAGTTAGTGATAGTGTGTGTATTGTCTGGTAGTATGTACATTTGTTGTTGTAAGATGCAAGCTGTTGTTGTTGCCAAAGGTCACGCGGATTGTTGTAACCACATGGCGTGAGCGGGAGAGCGAAGTGGCAGTGTTACCAAGCGGGGGCAAAAGCGCTCTCCCGCCAAAAAGGCCTATGCAAAAAGAAAGTGCAATAACAAAATATATGAAAGAGCTGTAGCCACAGAAACAGTTTTTTATGACTGCGGAAAAACAAATCTGAGCCAATTCTTTAAACATACTCAGAAAAAAATTGAATTCCTAATTTATAAATAGTTTTAAATCTAAAAAAATTGATAGTGTTTTTCTATTATATGTTAGACATATGTAATTGAAATTCGCTTGTGTTTCTGTGGCACCTTCGAATTTTCATATTTGAATACACTTATTAATGTAAAGTGCCAGCAATTTTTTTACAGTGCATAGGAATCGAAGACAAAGTGG